GAGAAACATTCCAGAAATGTCTTTTCCAGCAGAGGAAAACAAAAATCCAGCACAGTAATAACTCAAATAATGTAACTATTGGCTGCCCTTTTGAGATGAAGAAAGCTGGCTGCCCAAGCCAGCTACCTCACTTCGCCAGCTGATAGAGCTGGATTTCTCTGCAGTGCACTGAAGTGAAGGAAACGGGCAAAGGAGGTTGTGGAAGACAGGATGTTTGTGCTATGGTTGAAAGAAGAACAATTAAAATTGGAAAAAAAAAAACTAGACAACAGGATTTATGGTATCAGGGAAAACAATGTAATGGACTTCAGTTCTCATAATCCACCACATCTGAAAAACATCTGGCATAAAGTCTCAATTTTTTTCCTTACCTGCTGAAAATTGTAGAAATTAGAGAGCTTGTGATCTTGAAAATTGAGTTGGATCATCAATTTATTGTATAATCAAAAGGTGTCATTGTTATTCATGGGCATCCTGCTAGAAATTTAAGCAAATTTATCAACCATTTCCTTTTTCCAAGGAACTCAGGAGATAAGGGTTTAGGAGAAGGCATAGCTAGGGTTTATTAAGATAAATCACTGCACCCTTCCACAATCCCTAATTCCCAGTGTATTTTAGTGGAACATGTACCAATTAAACCAAAGCAAGCTTCTATTAATTCCACTTTGTTCTGTGTTGATCAGTACCCACCTCAGGTAGTGTGTCCAGTTCTGGGCCTATGACACTAAGGAAAGAGTCAGGCATTCAGGAACAGATTCAGAGAATGGCTAAAGGAAAATAGTCTAGAAAACGTGGGAGACTGAAGAAAGTAGGAATGCTGAACGCTGAGAAAAATAAATGAACGGCAACTTGATAGCCCACTCCAAATACTTGAAGGGTATCCCACAGAAAGGCAAGACCTGTTCTCCATTTTTCCAGAGTGCAGGACTCAGAATAATGTATGTAAGTTACAGGAAGCAGATTCTGACTGAATGCTTGGAAAGATGTTTTTTAATAGTAACAGCAGTTTGATCATGGAACCATTTATCCTAATCTCTGTTGGATGTGTTCAAGCAGAGGCTGGACAACCATCTGTTAGAGATGCTTTAATCCAGATTCCTGCATGAAGAACAGGGTTGAAGCTGATGGCCTCCCAAGTCTATGTTTCCCCAAAAACCTACCTTCAGTTTCACTGAACAACTAAACTTTGTGCTTTGAGTTGTTATGCAAACATATTCATGCTGACCCATCACATTTGAACCTAGCAGATGTGGTTACTTTCTGATTCATGGTCTTATGGAAACCCAGCATAAATAATGGGTTAGGGCAACCGGTAAACAAATAGAGTTTAAACCAAGCTGACAGCAAATTCTTGGAGGTCTTTTGACCTCTGCAAACTCAAGGCCCTGGCTTCCCCTTTCTCCCAAACCTCACCAAAGTATTATTCCTAGAACTGCCCTGACAGACAGATCTCTCTTTTGGCAGATATTGCTGGAGCTTCCTCCAAATTCTGTATTGTTTGTAGTCACTTATATTTTTATTTTGAAATACTCTACCCCTCAACTCACAGGACAAAGAGAGGCCAAGGCCAGGGCACAGAGATCTAAACCTTGATCAAAGGTTGGAAAGCTTGTTTGCTTCATTTGCACTAGCAGTGATGAAATCATTAACTAGTGCTCTAGACAATTATTACCCTTTTGCTCACAAGTTCAAGGCATCTGTAAGATAGCCAGGGCAGGACAAACAGAGATTGGCCCAAAGTCACTTACTGAGTTTCTGCGGCGAAGGGGGGACTAGAATCTGGATCTCCCCACTCTCAGTCCAGCACCTTCACCACTGAACCATGCTGGCTCTTGTCCCTCACAGCCTAGCCCAAAGTCCCAAGGGAGCTTCCATCGCTGAGGTGGGACCAAGCTCTGGGTCTTCCACTCCCAGTCCAACCCCGTCATCGCTACACCTCATTAATTCTTGGACTGAAAGGGACTGGCCCAAGATTCCCCAGGGCACTTCTGTGGCTGAGGGAGAACTGGAACATGAGTCTCCCCACTTTGGGTCCAAGCCCTTCACCATTGTGCCATGCAGACAGCTGTTCTGCCACAGGGAACCTCAGCTGTTATTTCCAAAGGCTCTTGGAAGAGGGTTGTTCTTTGATGCAGATCCCTCTTGAATGCAAACGCAAGAATGCAGTTTTCCTAATTCCTAATGCAGTGTTTCTCAACCTCAGCAACTTTAAGATAGGTGGACTTCAACTCCCAGAATTCCCCAGCCAGCATGGCTGGCTGGAGAATTCTGGAAGTTGAAGTCCACACATCTTAAAGTCACTGAGGTTGAGACACACTGCTTTAGGAATTAGGAAAACTGCATTCTTGAGTTTGCATTCAAGAGGGATCTGCATCAAAGAAGAACCCTCTTCCAAGAGCCTTTGGAAATAGCCAGCTGACTGGCTGGCTGGGGAATTCTGGGAGTTGAAGTCCACTCATCTTAAAGTGGCCAGGTTTGGACAACACTGCTGTAAAGCATCTCCAGCGATGGGGCGTCTATACCAGGCTGTTAGGAGACAAAGCCTCCACTTGCTGGCTGTGAACTCCACAACACTAAGTGCTCAGAACCATTTTTTTTTAATTGAAACCCAAGATTCTCTATCTGTTGCCAGATTCTTTTCACTTGGTTGATAAGCTCTCTGCCAATGATCAGCCTGGCTTGAGTCCTAACCTTTGGCACACATCAATCACCCTTAGGTCAGTTTTACTTTGGGATGCTCCCGAGAACTGAATGTTTTGAAAGGTTTCAACAAGCTTGTTTGAGTGAGCTAGCAATAAGCTGGAGAAATGTGTGACTTGATCCAGTTTGCTTATTTTTATTTTGCTCCAAGGAGACGGCCTTTGCTTTCTTTTACAATTGGATCAGCGCCTTGCGCCTTGTCAATATGGGAGTGGCTGTCAGTCATAGAGAGAGCACCTAAGCTTATGCAACCCAAGCCACTGAGATTCAGCAGCAATAAAACTGTATTAATTCAAATCCAGGAAGCAGTCACTTGCTTGTACAGTTTACCTACCATCCCATAGCTTGACTGGCCAAACCCAGCCTGGGTTCAGGGGAAGACTGCTACGTAGCACAGATGAAGATCCAGGCAATGGGGTCTTCCACCAGAGACTGCTCTCTCATCCTTTGCCAGCAATGTCCATCACAATCTCATTGTGATGCTTTTGGTTGATCTAGGTTGCTGAGTCAAAGGTGGTTTGCTATGTGGCATTTAACTGTTAATCTACAACTAGATCCCTGATTGCTGTCATCTGGTCGCTCTCTGATCTAATCTGGCCCGATGTGGAGGAATTGCTTCCCTGTTCCATGCATCAACGCATGACCTTAGCATGTGCTCAGTTTTGGACACTGTTTTCTTTTCCCAGAGAACCATAAAGTTATTTCCTTTTCACCTTCCACTCGCCTATTAGTTCAGTGTGTCTCAACCTTAGCAACTTTAAGCTCTGTGGACTTCAACTCCCAGAATTTGTGGGACAGACGCGTGGAACAAGCAATTCTCCAGATCAGGTCTGATTAGATCGGAGAGGGACCAGATGACAGCAACCAGGGATAAGAACATTAACAGTTAAATGCCATGTAGCAAACCACATTTGACTCAGTAACCTAGATCAACCAAAAACTTGCTGGCTGGAGAATTCTGGGAGTTGAAGTCCATACATCTTAAAGTTGCCAAGGTTGAGAAACACTGTATTAGTTTAACTACCCTGATGCTAGCTTGCTGGCTGTCATCCCAAACTCAGGAAAAGTTAAATGGAATCGCTTTCGCCAAATATGTAACACTTATCAAGTTAAATGCCATGTAGCAAACCACATTTGACTCAGTAACCTAGATCAACCAAAAACTTGCTGGCTGGAGAATTCTGGGAGTTGAAGTCCATACATCTTAAAGTTGCCAAGGTTGAGAAACACTGTATTAGTTTAACTACCCTGATGCTAGCTTGCTGGCTGTCATCCCAAACTCAGGAAAAGTTAAATGGAATCGCTTTCGCCAAATATGTAACACTTATCAAGGTATAGAAGTCCCTTTAGGTCTTGGGCCCATCTAGGTCATGGAGGTCAGAAGGAACTTCTCCCTTTAATGGTCAATTGAGAGCTAGAAGGGGAGCTGCACAGATATATCCAAGAGGTCACCAGGACCTGGACTCAACTTAAAGGGGGTTGGACGGGCTTATATTAGGAAAGATCAAGAGGACAAAATAACAGACAAGCATGTAAGTGCTCTAGAACTCTGTATCAGGCAACTTGCTTTAAAAGGAGAAAGAAATTAGGGGACTTATTTACAATCTGGAGCCTGTATTTAGATAATGGCTAGGATCAATCATCAGCAAAGCCATTGTGTGGAGTTCGTGTGCTTTATTGGAGCTCCTTCAGAAGCTGTGCAAATGCAGCTGACATGACTCATAGGTGAATTCAGTCAGACCATAGTTTAACAAATTATGCTTATTTAATCAAACCACAGTCCACAACAAACCATGGTTCAGAGTCTTAAGGGACTGGGGAGGGGAGCAGCTGCTGTGTTCAACACCTGGGAGCAACCTGAGCTAATTTGAGGTTTCACCCAGGGCTCTCTTAAGGGATGCAGGATGAGAAGATGAACAATACTGTGGTCGCCGCGCTGTTTTTTGAACATATTTCCATGGAAATGAAACATGTAGCTTCCTTGATTGATAGAAACCAAAAACCCAGAGAAATTCAGTGCTATGGAAGAAAGCTAAAGATAATTGTAGATGATATACATGGTTAAAAAACCTTCATAGCACCCAAACTTCAACAGAGTAAGTAAACATCAAGGTGAAGAGCCTAAGCCATCAGATTCTACTCAAGGCCACTAACTCCATCATCCACTGTTTCCACCATGTACCACTCAGATATGTCCCTTTAGGCTCTGTCCCTTGATCCTGATATCCCTTGATGTCCCTTGATATACCCCTTCTTTAGATGTTAAACTTCTCCCAGATGTCAAAAAAGTCAACTTTAGCTGTGGTGAGAATAAAATATATTTATTTATTTGCTCATTTAACTTAATCATTTGCCACAAGGAAGGCTTTCCAGTCATATATTTCTATTGCACAATTCCTGCAAGATAATTCTGGCTAGAAAATTATACGGTAGCATCTTAATCTCCTTTCATCGTTATGGTCAAACTTTTATTGTGCTAAGCAAAGTCTATCTGCATAATCAGATAATTGATAACTGGTGAGATTATATTAAAACTTGGACCTCGATCCTTATTGCACTATAGAGGTGACTGAGGTAGGAAGAAAAACATGGAACTGGTCTGTAAGGGATGTGGAATGGAACAACAATCCGCCTTCCAAGGGGAAGGAATGATGCCAGGTGACCTTTCCCTACCCCTTTGGAGCGGGCTAAATCAACACAGTGAAGGCAAATGGAAAAATACACTGGGATAGGAGCAAGAAATTGATCTGGAATGTGTGACAGTTTGGAACTTTTGCAGGAAAAAAGTACTTGCTGAGCCGAGAATGATGCAGTGATGCATTCAGCCAAAATCTAAAACATATTTCTTTGGTAATGGCATTTGTGCATGGAAAACAGGGGGTCCACCCATTCCTTCCCATCCCTCTTGACGCACATCTGTGAATCTGTAGGCCTGCTGCCAAAGACCATCTGCTTTCTGTAGAGCGCAAGGGTAGGTCCTTTATATATCCCTAACCGGACCATCCCAAACCAGTCAAAATAGTGCCATAGCTTAATATCACAAATGTCCTGAGTTTGGCATATCTGTCATCCAGTGGCTTTCCTGCCCCAAACAGGGATTCCCTCCACAGCATTGCTCCAATCAGGTTTTCCTGTCCTGCCAGGGCCTATTTCCCCGCCTGTCTCTCTGCTCTGATCTCCTGAAGCCACCTGACCGTGCGATTCCGGCTCTCTTCCCAGGTGAAGTAGGGCTTGTAGCCAAAGTGCCGCAGGGCCTTGTCGGTCTGAACAGTGAAGGTGGTGCTGCTGATCACCAGGGTGTAGGGGTTGAGGAGCGGGGCATACACGCAGAAGGGCTTCAGGAGCCACTGCAGGAGACTGTTGATCAGAGCAATGAACTGCAGGAGAAGGAAAGGCAGCACGGGACGGGAGCCGAAGAGGCGAAAGCCACAGGGCCTCAAGAACTCCATGTTGAAGTCCTCGTAGCTCTTGTATGGAGAGTCATCGTAGCAGAAATAAACTTGGCTCCCGATGGTCGAGGAGTCCTCCTGGATCTTCTGAGCCACCAGCAGATGCATCCAAGCTACGTTGCCTACGGTGGCATTCATCCAAGGGGAAGGGGCAAGGAAGGAGAGAGAGAAAAAAGATACAGTCAAGGAGAGGGATGTTTCCAGCTGACACTGCTTTGGGGAAAATACAGAGATCAGAAGGGGGCAAAATAAAGCAGCCTTGTTTACTCAAGCCAACACAGTGTGGGTAAGATCTCAAATTTGTTTGTGAAAACAGTGCTTTGTACATTCTGTAAATTAAAACACGATACACTGTAACAGGATGTGTGTGTGTGTGTGTGTGTCTATGCACACGTGTGTGTTTATTTCCCAGCTTATAGTTGGGGGGGGATTTTTGGGAAGGGGATAGGCATTACTCTTACTCATCCTGCAGCACAGATTAGCAAACAAATCCCGCAGCTAAACAAGTGGTTTTCTTAAAAAAATCTTTCTTACAACAGGGGTTTTCAAGTCGCGTGTCAGGATCCCCAAGGGAGTCATAAGTAACTTGTGGGGCTGATACATTTTTTTTTTAAAAAAACAATCTGATCAGGCTCGCCCAGGCAAAGTGCAAACAGTGTCAAGACTTGCTGCAGATGTTGTGCCTTCTCTTTTCATTTTACAAACTTTCCAAGACTGCAGAGGGTGGCTGCGGTCTTGGAAAGTTTGAGAAACGTTGTGAGACGTATTAGGGGTGTATTTGTTTCTCACCCAACCCAATGAAAACATTGCTTCTATTCACAGGGAGGGGGAAGTTTGCACAAATTCATTTGTTTTCAAGGACCCATGGTACCCTGAACTTTGAGAACCCGCCCTGAACAATATTTCAAATTCCTATGAATTCACATCAGGCTTATTTCTTGGGTCTGGAATTTACATTCAAGAAATCTGGTAATGGGAATAACCAAAATGGTAATGCAGAGACAGGGGCTTGACTGCCAAGGGTGGGGACGCTCGTGTCAACGGTTCTGAAGAGGTTCAGGACCTGATATAAAGAAGTGTGCATGTGCACACACATGCACAAGAAGAGTAAAAGTATCTGAATCAAAAAAGGTGGGTCTGGAATGCACCAAGCAGAACCACGACTTACCCACATAGACCCTGCCATGCTCAGTGGAGGCTGGGATGGCCCGGATCATGAACTTCTTTGTCACCAGCCCTTGCTCATAAAACTCCTTCATCAGCAGATGGTTCTCCCCATAGATGCCTGTTGGACGAAGGGCGCAAGTGACCAGCCGCTTCCCGTCTGGCATCTGCAGGAAAGAGAGATTTGCTACCTTCCCCAGTGGCTGACTGGCACATCTGAGCATCTTGTGGGTGGACCATCAAGACAAGTTAGAAGCAGGTGGCAGAGTCTTTATTCAGTTGTTGGTCTGCCAGATTTTTATCCCAAATTTCCTTGGAGATTAAGGCAAGGGATCTAGCCGTCTCTCCTCCCTGCTTCCTTTAACAACATGCCTGTGAGGTAGGTTGGGCCAACATAGAGTACCACCTGGCCCAAAGTCACTTCTCCTGTGAACTTCCATGGCTGAAGGTGGACTCAAACCTGGGCTTCCCCAGTCAGACTCCACGGACAACTCAGTGAGGTAGGCTGGGCCGAGAGGTGCCCCAAGGTCACCCAGTGAACTTCCATCATTGAGGATGGAGCTGAACCCGGGCCTTCCTTCCCCACGATATCCCACCGGCTCTCTTAATAAAGACTACAGCACTGGATCCAGGAGTCCAGGGTTCAAAGCCCACAGAACGACTGGAAAAACGACATGGGGATGGCAATGGAAGCTCAGCTCCTTCAAGCAGCCTTCTCCAGCCCTGCTCCCTGCAGGTATCTTGACCTGTAATGCCCATAATCCACAGCCAGCACACACTGCCTGGATTTTTTAAAGAGCACCAGTTTCAAGGAAACTGCTCCAGACAAAGGGACAGGCAGGGTTTTAAATGAGATGTTAAAAACCCAGCAGAGGCATTGCATGGCTGACCTAGAAGACGTTCTGACTCTTCTCTTGAGATCTAGCTTACCAGTCGCCCGTTGGCTTCGAGGACTAGCTGCTCAGCCTTGGCTTTGCTAAGTGGGTAAGGATGGTGATGGATGGCCTCGTATTCCGTGTCCTCGTTGCCCCTGCAAGCAAGGAAGAAAACATCCCAGGCAATCAAAACTCTGCGCTTCCAACAGGCTAGAAGAGAAACCAAGAGCGGTTCACCAGATTACAGTTAGCAAAGTTATGTATCTTAATGCACTTCAGCGCTGTACAATTACATCCAATGCAGTTGTGGCTCCTGTACCCTGCATTACATAGGACAGGACAAAGCTCCTGAACCATCAAATGATATGGGGAAGAAAACCGGGGGGGGGGGGTGACGTGTTTTCCCCCTCCGCCCCCCCCCCCCCCCCCCCCC